TTTATCGCCGATTTCTATTCGGATAGCGAGTGCTTTCTCCTGATACTCTCGGGCCTTTTCATAATTACCAAGCGATTGGAACAATGTTCCTAGGTTTCCGTAGCTCGCTGCTTCTCCTTGTTTATCGCCGATTTCTATTCGGATAGCGAGTGCTTTCTCCTGATACTCTCGGGCCTCTTCATAATTACCAAGCAATCGAAACAATGTTCCTAGGTTTCCGTAGCTCGCTGCTTCTCCTTGTTTATCGCCGATTTCTATCCGGATAGCGAGTGCTTTCTCCTGATACTCTCGGGCCTTTTCATAATTACCAAGCAATCGAAACAATGTTCCTAGGTTTCCGTAGCTCGCTGCTACTCCTTGTTTATCGCCGATTTCTATTCCGATAGCGAGTGCTTTCTCCTGATACTCTCGGGCCTTTTCATAATTACCAAGCAAATGGAAGAATGCTCCTAGGTTTCCGTAGCTTGATGCTTCTCCTTCTTTATCGCCGATTTTCATTGTGAGTGCAAGTGCTTTCTCTTGATGCTCTTTACCAGTGCGATATTCTCCTAAGGTGTAAAGCAGTACTGCCAGGGTTCTACGACAAATAGCCTCTCCTTTTGCGTCGCCATTCTTTTCCACGATATCAATCGCTAACTCATAAAATAAACTGGCCTCTAAAAACCTATTTTGCGTGCTTAGTGTTTTCGCCAGTATTAGATTTTGCCATGCTTTCTCAGAACTGTCATCACAGTCATTACAAAGGAGATGAAGTTTCTTGAAGCATTGCACTTTACCCGCGTGATCGTTCATTGCGTCGTACGCTTCCGTCATTATGCTCTAGATAGCACGTAAAATGGATTTGGCCAATGAACTATCCATATTCACCGCCTGACGGTTTAGCACATTCAAACATTCTTTGCATAACTGGATGGCTAGTAAAGCACGACCCGTGTTACGAAGGAAGACAGCTATCACCCAAGCTATGAATGCTGTGTTCTGAACCTCTTCTGTGCTGACCATTTTGACC